AGGCGTGTTCGGGCGTACCTCGAACACTGTTCGTGTTCGTCGCGGGCAAATTTCAGCAGCGGCCCGAACACGAACGTGTTCGGGCGAACATCGAACACTGTTCGGTGAACAGTTTAAGCCAAAAACTAGAGGCGAACCGAAAAGGTGTTCGTTCTTTTGCTCAACCCTACATGGGAGCATGGGCATGCCGTGGCCACTGACTTATGCGTTGATAACGACATAAGATAAGAGGTGTGAACCTTTAGGCACATAAGTAACGAGATCAAATAGGAGGTATATATCGTTGGGCATGAGCATTCCTGAGCTCCTTTAGGCACTCCACCAAGTTATTTAACTACGAATACTAGTACTCGTGGTCGTAAATGAGCCACAACGCCCTGGTATTGCTGCAACCATCCATGGCAGCAAGTCACCCATACACCAAATCCCCCCCCCCTATGCTTGCTGGAGTTCCAGCCAGCAAGAGTTGCACTGATTGCGCTAGCAGGTAGGAGAGAGGCTGCAATGGAGCAGGAAAAAGAAGAGATGAATGTATCAGCTCATCAACGCTTCGTATGGCTTTCCCTCCCTCTTTCAACCCCTGCACCAGACATCAGTAGAGCAGAGAGGTGCAATGTCAAACTTGAAATTGGTCACACAAGCTTCTAAACACCAGGCGTTGGAGAACTATTCTAATAGAAACACGATTCTGATGGATACATGCGATAGGCTATCATTGAGCACCAGGCGGGCCGGGCCCGGCCCGGGTCGGGCCCACCCCGGGCTGCGCAAAAAAGCGGGCCCGGCTGGCCCGGCCCGACCCGGGCCATAGAAGGAAACTCTTGGCCCGAGCCCGCCCTCAAGGCGGGCGGGCCGTGCCCGGCCCGACCCGGGCTCTGCATGGCCCGACCCGGGCCAGCCCGGCCTGGCCCGGGTGCTGTCATAATCGCCCACAGGATGTATCTTTGGGCTGTTTGTGTTGTATTTTTGCGCTCCGATGCGGCCCGCCCGGCCCGCCTCTTATGATGCCCGGCCCGGGGCATTTTCGGGCGGGCCCTGGCCCACTTTCATGCTCATCGCTATCACTGATAGGGCCGCCTTTACTTTGATGATCCGTCGCCGTGGCAAGGTTGGTGCCATTGCTGAACCTGAACCCACAATAGTCGTGCATGACATTTTGCTCGTGCGGCATGAGCTCAACCAAGGAAACACAGCGGAAACTCCGTAGATCTGTGTGACGCACGCTGGCAACCAAGCCGAATGCCTCCGCGTCATGGTGGTGCCGGTATGTGAGCCTCCATGGAACCCTTGTTGGAATGCACTACCATCACCAAGGATCCAGAAGACACGAGATTTATCAGCACAACAAATACAGGAAGATTAGGTGGTGGGGGTCGAGGGCGGGCCACTGATTGCTAAGTTTGTTTTTCAAGGATCCCAACATTGTTGGCCCCCATACTAGGTACTATTAGGTTCTGCTACATTCAATTTTGAAACAGGAGCTACGGCGCAGCGATGCACGGCGCGGCTGTCCTGGCCGGCCCAGCGCCTAAGGAGAGGCGCCTTAGCTAAGAAAGAATAAGAAGAGAGTCTTGCAGCAGAAGAAAAGGGAGCAAGGCTGGAGGGAGAAGCCCAGCTCTGGAGACGTGGATGAGAGAAGAGAGAAGAAGACTTTCAAAAAGATAGGATTAAGGACTCCAAGGATAGAATAGGATGAGATTATAATACAAGATTTTGAGGTGGATATTAATGCTAGGAAGAAGGGATGGCGACTTGGGGGAAAACCGTATCGCCAGTCAATCTAGCATGGCATCTTGGCATAACGCCTTGATGCCATCCTGCTGGATTCTAGTAACATCTAATCACTGACGAGGATAAGGGAAAGGGAGCTACCTAGGCAAAGGGCGGTTCCAACCGTTCGGGTATTCCCATGCACGCAGGCATGGCGAATCCCATCTTGTTACAATTTGCTCTATACAGCTCTATATCTAGCAGAACAAGTACATAGCACGGGGGTGAAACAAAAGGTTCGTCGGACGAACCTTGGGAGTCGACGAACGGGACACAGCGGACTGGAGAAACCACGGCGAGACACGTCAGAAAGATGAGTAAGCTGAGCCGAATGAGGCACCCCGCGCCGTCCGAAGTTGCCATCGAGGTGCAGCGATTCCAGGAAATGGTTGTTTTTAATCGTTTGTGAAGTTGTGTGCGTCACAAAGCCCAGCCTAATTCTACAGCCTAATATCTGTAGAGGGTTAAACCAAAAAAACTAGTGTTACCAGGAGTGCAGACGAGGAATCCGAGAGGAAGCTACTAAGCTAGGAAATGAAGTGGAGAAGACAGCAGCAGGGAGGTGAGGGTGGGAGTTGAGGGCGATGATGATCGCCCAGTTCCTAGCCAAAATTTCTTTTGCAGATCTCTTGCGTGGCTCCAACATCCCAACCAGGGCTGGTGACGTGGAATTAGCGAGTTGCGACCTCCCATTCAGCTGTGGATTGTGGTGTGGATCCCGACGGATGCGAATGGATTGTCAAGTTACCATTCTCTCGCGATTTCCAGGGTGACAAATTTCTATGGTGGCGTGGCATGCCAGCAGGGCGTGTCCAGCGACCAAAACATCCCGCCAGGTCTGCGACTTAGACGAATCAGGACAGCAGCTGACCCTGTTTGACGAACACCGACCTCTTCATTCTCTCTCACAGTAACGGAACGAATCGAAACCCTCATGGACCCTACGGTAAATCTTCCAGTATACAAAGAGCAAGTAGCTATTGAAGAGGATTATTGGCACTAGCGACCAGCGATTTGGCGACCTGGCGACATAGCGAACTACTTACTGCTCAGCCCGTGACGTACTGCTCAGCCCGCGACCTGCCTTATCGCGACCTTAAATCGTGAAGTGCTCAAAAACGATATGGTAGAGTTGATAGAGTTCCATCGTGCGAATTTCATGTTGACTAGAAAATCGGCAAGATGGCACTTGCATGTGATGCTAATCCGGACTAGCTACAGGATGTCAGAACGTGGTAGAACATTCGTATTACGAAGGGGACATCACTTTCGCACCTCCTCCCCACTCCCCATCCTTCTTCGCCCTTCCACAATCCCTCCTGCGCGACGGCGCCGCCGCAAAAGGCACGAATGCGCAATTGACAGCAGGAGGCATCAGAGAAAGAAACGGCGCTCTATTCTGCCGGCCTCCCTCCCGCAGCTTCCTGCCAATTTCTTACTTTCCTGGCCATGATTCTTCCACCTGCTCGTTGGATAGTCTTAATAGAAACATAAACTTCGCCCAGTCAGCGATAGTAGCACTAACACTGTTGGCGGTCATCCCTAATGTTTCCTATTGGCGACGGCGAGTCGAGCGAGTGTCCCGTGCGTCGCCAACTGCTTTGCGAGTGCCGAAATTGTAGGTTGCGACAGGCGGCCTCCCGAGCATCGCGGGCGTCGAAGCTGCACGAGCAGCTAGCGATGGCGAGTCAATATGACGAGCAACGGCACCGTCATCATCATTGCCGCTTTTGACAGCTCTCACAAGTCATCGACGCTGCTGAAAGGATAGCTCAATCCCTGCTCCTTGTTCCCTCTGCTCCTTTCCCCATGCTTGTTCCCTCCCTGCTCCTCACCAGATTTTGCTCCTTATCCTCATTCTGTACGTGTTGCGAGGCAATATCCATTTGCCATGTACCCTTCCGGGCGGCCATTTCGTCGTCTTTGCCGTTGACCATTCTGCCCGATCAGGTGCGTCCTGCTCAGGGCACAATCGGTGTCCTGTTGAGGTGACGTATGGCTGGGTGCTGCATGGCTGGGTGCAATTCCTCGTGTCGTTACCACTTTAGCCAAACCGAACCTGAGCCGACACAGTTTGCACCGGAACCAGCTCCTCGTTGAGTCTGCTGTGACAACATTCTACAATGGAATTCGAACACTACCTTCCATCCAACCTCCACATTAGCATCCTAGGTCCTAGAATCGCATACTATACTCGTGCATCATTCGCGAACCATTGGCCTCACAATGAGAGAATGCTGGAACTCCCCGCTGTTTTAGTACGTGATTTAGTTGATTTAGTACGTGCACGTCCAATACATTCTTACTTTCCTCCGCGCGTATCGAGAGAAATGGTCCACCACCAAACATCTTCGCCTTACTATCAGTTTCGCTGCCTTTTCTAATCGCGAGGTCAGTCGCCAATTCTGCATTCTTTTTCCTCGTCAGTTTCTCTTCATGCCACTAGAATTCGCTGTTTTCGCGGAACATTCGTGTGAGCTAAGCCCCGCTATCAGACAAGCTCCCGACCAGCAGTCCGCCATGCGAGTCGAGCTTGATTCATATGCTAGATTCTGATTGTCAGGACTGTTTCCATGAAACACTTTTGTGAGCTAAGCCCCGCTATCAGACAAGCTCCCGACCAGCAGTCCCTCATGCGAGTCGAGCTCGATTCATAGGCTAGATTCTGATTGTCAGGACTGTTTCCGTGAAACACTTTTGTGAGCTTAACTCAGTAATCGCTGTCTCGCTGTGATTCGAGTTCGTTACATACTACAAAATTATCGAGCTCCCACCCCCCACTCCTCCCATGCAGGCCATCGAGCCCCTCAAGGAGCGTCGCGACATGACGGCGCAGGAGGTGCGATCACGCATGTGCACCAGCCGACCAGCAGGCTCAAGAAACTTCTTCTAGTCTGCATTTCGATCCCTGCATCGCAAAATGGTGGTGTACGAGGAGCGCGCGCTCTCGCCATATCTGCCTGCTATTGTTGCTCATGTCCGCCATTGTCAGTCTTCCTCGTTCTTGCGCTTAGAACACCTCCCTTCTGCCCTCAACTCGATTTCCCCCCTTCCCCCCACCCCCTACCCTGCCGCGCACCAACCTCGCCGCACCAATCTCTGTGCGCCTGCGGCACGTAACGGTGCATGCAGACGCGGCTGGCGCTGATGATCAAACCCGCGCGAGGCGGAGCAGCGGTGGCAGATGGGAATAGAGAATGAGAGCAGGTTCTCCCGCGAAGAGATCGCCGATGCCTTCCTCCAGGTGCGGTTGAGGGACAGGGAGACGTGGGCGTGGGGAAGGGGAGATGTGGGGCCAGGGAGAGGGCTGGGAGATGGCTAGGAGAGGGGAGTGGGGAGGGGGGGAAGGGGGGAGGAGGGGCTAGAAGAGGGGGGGAAAAGGAGGAAGGTATGGAGGTGCGAGTCGCGCTCATGCGAGCCGGGCTCGCTATGGTGAGGTAAGGTTCCAATTGTCAATTACTGTTTCCGCAACGCTTATGCCAGCTTAGCCCAGTTGTTGCTGTCTTCGCTGTACATCTGACTTAGTTACATACTACAGAGTCAGGTGAGCTTCTACCCCCCAGTCCTCTCATGCAGACCATCCAGCTGCCAAGGAGCATCGCGGCATGATGGTGCAGCAGGTGCGTCCAGTAGTCTCGAGAAACTATTTGGAGTCTGTATTTTGTTCCCTAGCATTCATCTGAAATGGCGGTGTAGGAGGAGCACGCGCTCTCGCTGTGTTTGTCTGTCATTGTTGGTCACGTCAGTCATTGTCGGCCCGTGCCTTTCGTTATCCGTCGCTGTCCGTCCGTCCTTGGTCGTCATTCCCCGTTTTTGTTGCTCGCACGCTTCGCTCAATTCCCCTTCTTTTCTCACTTCGATCTTCCCCCTTCCCCCCCCCCCCCCCCCCCCCCCCCCCCCCCCCCCCCTCGGTCTTCCCCCTTTCCCCCGGTTTTCTCCCTCCCTCCTCCCCTCCCCCCCGTTCTCTACTGCCGCGCACCAATCTCCGTGCGCCTGTTGCGAGTAAAGGTGCTTGCAGATATGGCTGGTGCTGATGGCATGATGATCTAGGAGGCCGCACGAGGCGGAGCGGCGGTGGCAGATGGGCATGGAGAGTGAGAGCGGGTGGTCCCGCTGCAAGATTGCAGACGCCTTCCTCGAGGTGCGGGCGAGGCAGGGGGGCGTGGCTGTGGGAAAGGGGAGATGTGGGGGCAGGGAGAGTGTTGGGAGAGGACTGGGGGAGGGGAGGGTGAAGGGGGAAAGAGGCCATGGAGGACGAAAGCACGTGCTTCCGCGGCGAGATCGCGGACGCCTTCCTCAAGGTGCGCCAGGCGCGAGGGGAGAGTCGCGCGGGGATAGTTGTGGGGAGGGCGGGGAAAGGTGGGGCGAGGGGAGAAAGAAGGAGAGGGAAGGGGGGTTCGGTTGGTTCTTTTTTTTTTTAGACGTACAAGCCTGTGTTGACAACTGCGTGCCAGCAGACCGCATGGTGCCTGTTTTTTGAGAATTCTCAAAAACCAGCAGACCGCATGGTGCCTGTTTTTTGAGAATTCTCAAAAACCAGCAGACCGTATGGTGCCTCTGTTCCCTTTCCCCCGTTCTCTTTCCGCCCGTCTCCTCACCCAGCCACATGCCGTGTATGAGGACCACATGCCAGCAGACCGCATGGTGCTGTGTAAGCTGGTCATAACTTGAAGCCGTTCTTCCCCCTTTCTCCCAGCCCCGCTTTTCCAAATCCCCCCCTCCTCCCCAACGAGGTGTGTGAGGGCTGTGTGCCAGCAATAGCTGATCGATCGCATGGTGCAGCGCAAACTGGTTATAAGTCGTTCCGCCCTCCCCCTCTCCCCTCTCCCCCTCTAGCAGGCCGCATGCTGCTGCGCAAGCTGGCACAGGACATGGGCGAGCGGCCGCGCCTGCAGTTGAGTGAGCCATGGGATACGGGATGATTGTGGGGATGATACCTAAGCAGTGGGGGGCCGGGGAGGAGGGGAAGTTGGGGTTAGGGAAACGGGTGGATAAAGGGTGCTGGCGCAGGACATGCGCGACACGGTGGCCGCACCTGTGCGTGAGTGAGGGCAGGGGACGAGGGGATGGGAATGATATCGCAGGGTTCACAGGAGTGGGGGCATAAAGGGATGTGGGGATTGTGAACGGCGATTGCTCGGTCAAAAGGGTGACGGTTAAGACGCAAAATGGGAAAGAGGGGTGGCCCCACTCGCAAAATGGGAAAGAGGGGTGGCCCCACTCGCAAGTTCCTGAGACCACCGTGCAAATGCGAGGGTGACTCATGGGACAAGGGATGATTGTGGGACTAACTCTGTTTAGCGACAGGGGGACAAGGAGGAGGGGAAGAAGGATTAGGGGAGACGGGGGGATGAAGGGTGCCGGGACAGGACATGCGCGAGTGGTCGCGCCTATGTGTGACTGAGGGCAGGGGACGAGGGCATAGGCAGGATAATGAAAGGTTAACAGGCGTTGGGGCATAAGGGGATATGGGGGTCGTAAGAGGCGATTGCTCGGTCACTAAACCCAGGTCGAAGAAGCAAAAACTGGGAAAGTTCCCCTTTGTTCTCTGCCACCCCACTCCCCCGACCATCTACTCCCTCACCCGGCCCTTGCCTGGAGGAGCCAGCTCCCTCAGGAGGTAGTGGGATTCGGTTGCTAGTGCACCCTCCCTTAAGCCTGCCTCTTCATGAGCCAGCTCTCCACATAAGTGCAACCCCCCAGGCCTGGTGGCGTCGACCAGCATGTGCGCAGGGGCCCAAGAGCTTTCATAGAGAGGCACAGCCTGTTCAGGCAAGGGGGAAACCAGGGGAGCGTTTGTCTGGGTCAGGTAGGTACAGGACCTGCAGCGGGTAGGCTCGTTGCAGCTGGCGGGTGGGGTGAGTGCATGCCGAGGAGCAGGCACACCAGCGTTGAGACGTCTCAAACCACCCCCACACTTTCCCCTCTGTGCCACTGCCACACTTTCCCCTCTGTGCCACTGCCACACTTTCCCCTCTGTGCCACTGCCACGCTTTCCCCTCTGTGCCACTGCCACACTTTCCCCTCTGTGCCACTGCCACACTTTCCCCTCTGTGCCACTGCCACACTTTCCCCTCTGTGCCACTGCCACACTTTCCCCTCTGTGCCACTGCCACGCTTTCCCCTCTGTGCCACTGCCACACTTTCCCCTCTGTGTGAGGACTGTAGGCCAGCAGACCGCATGGTGATGCGCAAGCTGCTTATTACTTGGAGTCGTCCCCCCTCCCCCCTTCTCCCCGCTTCCCCAAACCCACCACCCCCACCCCACCCACCCCCCAGGTGCCCCATCCGCCCAATCCACCCCATCCAGAAGCCGCCTAATTTTCCAGTCGACTCGAAAATTGGTTCTGGTGAAGCCGCTCCTAATCTCTATCACCTTTGGCTGAACCTGCAGCTACTAAGTTAGTTCCATGCTTCAATTTTTCGCCTGTCTAGACACCACTGCCGCACTCAATTCACCCCATCCTCCATTTTCATGTGTTCCCTCTGCCTCCCTTCTCTCCCCAATCGCCCCTATCCCTCTTCTCTGTCTTCTCTCCCATGTAAGACAGTCCAAAGCATGGCATGCACCCACAGTCACCGCTTTGCACCATGCTTGTCTCCCGAACCTTTCTATGTGCATCCGAACCTGTCTAGACCCTCTCCTGCACCACACTATCTTGCCTTCACATCCTGAAAACTGTTCCACGCCCGCATACGTCTCTCCTTGCTCAAATCTGCTTTCATCTCTTTGAAGTTCAAAAGTTTGAACCCTCCCTATATCCTGCAGGGTACCACCAGAAGCTGCCGTTACACCCTCTATTCCAGAAAGAAGTCTGCATGCTCCTCTATGAACAAGCGGATGCATACCCAGACCCGATGCACAAATCTGTTTTGCTTGAGATAATGTACAGATTACTCCAACAGCTGCTCATCTTACGTACATGCCGTAGGCATGGCTGGAGCAAGGTACAATTCCGATCCAGTATTGTATACGAAAACATGTGTACCAAATAGGGTAATTCTCCGTCAGAATCTGCTTGCAATACTCAAGATGTGATCGTCTGGTGCCACTACAATGGGTCTGCTACTAGAATGGACAATTACCAGTAGGTCTCTCAATGATATGCCAAAATTACGTGTATTACATCCACCGATATGACGTATGTCCCCCAGGAAAGCGCAGCATGCCTTCATTGTCGTGCAACTTGTCACACCCTGTAAAAGCCACACGGTCCAGCAGCTCCAGCTTGCCCATATCGCCAGGCAGCGCCTCCAGCTGCTTGCACCCCTCCAAGTCGAGCGCTTGCAGCCGGCTGAGGCGTGCAAAGTTGGGAGGGAGGGATGTGATGGCGGCCTTGTGCACGGTCAGCTCGCGCAGGCATGCCAGCTGCGTGAGAGAGGCAGGGAGATGCGTGAGCGCTAAGCAGTTGGACATAATCAGCTTGCACAGTCGGGACAGTGCCCCGATGGAATTGAGAAGCGCACGCAGTTTAGGAGCGTTGATCTCCAGGTTTGTGAGCTTCTGAAGAGCTGCGATGGTTGACGGGATCTCCGTCAGCTCAGGCAAGCATATCTCCAGCTGACGCAGCTCCTGCAGCGTCGAGGTGGAGAAGTCTGGAAGCTTCACGACTCCGGTGCTCACGAGTGCGAGGGTGCGAAGGCGAGGCAGGTCGGCCAATGGGAATGGGAGCTCGCCCTCACATGCCAACACCAGACGCAAGTGCTCCAATGAAGACAAGCTTCTGGACAATGCGGAGGGGAAAATCACCATGCTCAAACTGACTGACTTGAGGCTGGAAAGAGCATAGATACCCGGCAGATGGGTGACCTCCGGATAGGTCCCCAGCCTGAGCGTTTCCAGCGACCCCGGCAAGAACTCTGGAGCCTTTCTCAGCAGCGCACAGCCGGACAGCTCCAGCTGCTTCAGTGTTGACAAATGCATGAGGCTCGTGGGGACTGAGAACAGGCTGCTGCACTTGTCCACCACTAGCACCTCTAGGTTCAGTAGGGCTGACACGGACTCGGGGAGCCTCTGGATCCAAGAGCAGGATAGCACATACAGCTCCCGCAGGCGTGTCAACTCCCCCATGGCCTCTGGCAGCTCGGCCAGCTCACACTTATGCAGCTCGAGCCTTGTGAGTGACGCGAGCCGGGTGAAGGAGGGCGGAAGCAGATGCCGTGCCCTGTACGATTTCAGGTAGAGCGTGTGGAGGTTGGTGAGGCCTCCGATGTCGTCGGGGAGAATGAGCAAGGGGGAATCCGCGAGGCACAGGGTCTTGAGCGCTGTGAGGGCGCTCAGCGGGTCTGGTAGCTCGCGCAGATACGCACAGTCCGTGACTATCAGCGTCTCAAGAGACTGCAGCCGGCTGCACGAGCCGGGGAAATGGGTGTTCAGATTGTGCAGCACGAGCGTTGTCAGCGTGGGCATCTGGCCGAAGCTGTCCGGCAGTCCGAGGACCGTGCAGTTTTCGAGCTTCAAGGTGCGCAGGCGGGTCAGCGCGGTGGCCTGCTCGGGTACGTCGAAGAAGGTACCGCTCGCATCGATGCTCAGCTCGTGGAGACACGGCATGCGATGGCAGGTGTCGTCCGGGACAGTGTGGAAGTCGTCGCACTGAAAAATCGCCAACGCTCGAGCAGGCTGCACTGTGACTCGGGAGGAAACATCTCATCGAACGGCGGGCAGGCTTTCCCGAGATTCAGCGACTTGAGCGAAGATAGGCGTGCGAATGAGAAGGGAGGAGAGGCGGAGTGGTATTGCCAAGGAGAGACGTCTTCTGGCACGGAGAGATGCGTGAGGCGTGGCAGGTGCGCGAGGTGCTCCAGGGTCTGATAGTCCCCCACCGAGTCGATCCAGAGCAATGTGAGAGCGCTCAAGTTCTTGACTTTTGGAGTTGTTACCACGGGCAGATCGGCAACTGTGAGGGATCGGAGATGCACGAGCTTGAAGAGCGAAGAAGGTAACCGGAACTCGCAGTGCAGGCAGGCCAGCGAGAGGTGCTCCAGCCGCGTGCACCGGCGGAAGAACACGTCGAAGCCGGCTGGCGTGAGAAAGGTCTCCCCCGCCTGGTCGGACTCAGGGTTCTCCACTATCGGCCTTCCGAGGTGGAACGCCGTCAGATTCGGGCAGCACGCGGCGAGGCGAGCTAGGAAAGTGTCGTCGATGGCTTGCGCGCTTCCGTCGCTGAGATGGAGGTGCGTGAGCTTGGGGAAGCAATCCACCGCTGCCGCGAGATCCTTGAGAGACACGGCGCGGTTCGACTTGACAAGGAGCGTGGACACGTGGCGCCGAGCCAGGCAGCGCCAGCGACGGCAAGTCGACGCGATGAGAAGATTGTACGCGGCGTCGGCGAATGCTGGGGGAAGAGGAGGAGCTGGAAACATGGTCTCGCTCTGCTGGTAGCATGCCTCGTCTGGATCCTCGCTATTGAACCTCGGGGGAGGCCGCACGGCGGCCCACACATCCTCATCGAAAGGCTCGCGAGAGAAGAGACGCTTGGAGGGCCAGAAAACGGCAATGAGTAGCTCCTCAGGAAGGCTATTGATATGCAAACACGCCATAGTACCTCAGGTTCTAGGTATGGTTGTAGAAATGTTGGAAAAGAAGACCTTAGCAGATGATGGCTGCGGCAGCTATCTCCTCTCCTTGCCCTCTCTTCACTCGTCTACGTTCTCTGCTCAGCCACGTATTCCCCGCAACGAAGGGCTCGGAGCCTGGGAGATGGCAAGTTAGGACGGAAGCAATTGGGGCGTGCTCCAAAACCAACGCAACCCCCAACAGCTTGTGGTAACAGAAATACAGCTGACACATGGGAGAAGCCCAAGGCGGGTCTTTCCATAAGCGATGACCCTTTGGTTTTCAAATCACTCCGCGAAGGTTTCGCTGGTATTGAGTTTAGGTAACCCATGCAAAAGTGTCGGTTCATGTCTCAGTGACGAAATGATCCTTTGTAACAACTGGGGCGATGTCTTCGACTCTCGTGTGTGGAAACCCGTCCAGTCGCACAAAATACTGAATGGTTTGATTTCGAGTGCACTTGGTTTCCTTACAAGGTTGGCGTAGCACGTAGTTCCACCTTTCCAAGCTTTTTTTCAGGACACACGTGTCGCTTCTTCAGTAAAATTCGCGACGACGAGAGTTTTTCTAGGCGTATTACCATAAGCGAGGGTGATGGCGACTTGATTTTTCGGTTGCGTAGCAACCCTTTATATTTGGTTTCACATTTTGGGGATATCATTTCAAGAGTGTATTTACGCACTTTTTGGAGCACCTGTTTTGAATGTTTTGAGACTGTTCAAACGGATGCCTCAAATAATGGATAAAAATCACCCTTGAATGACATCCCCATATGTAAAACCAAATACTGGAACGCACGTACGTATCATGTTGAAACCATGAACTTGCTCGACCGTCCCAACCTCGTCGATAAATACGGCGGATCGTACGGCCGAGCATAAAATTCTGGCATCAACATGAACGAATGAACAACAAGGTATGAGGTAGAATGGATGCTTAAAAATGAATATTAAAATGCATCATGCAGCAACAGAGGTTGATGGGGTCGTTGAAACAGCGGAAACCCGCTGCCCCAAAGACGATTAACAACCTTTAATTGCATACATAACACACAATAACACCACACTTTGAAACACAAATCCCACAAACACGAATGCAATCGCACGTAAAAAATGTACAACACCGCGTAACGGTTATGAATGGATCGAAGAGCAACCGCACAGTGAAACAAACACAACGAACAGACATGCACACACACGCAAACAAGCACAGAGAAATACAGATACCGTAATAAACACACAACCGTCATAAATAAAATTCAGAATATGTAATTCCTAACCTATCCCACCTTACCCTCCCTACAACCCTCCCTCCCTCGTTCCCTCATCTCCATCCCACTCCCCCATCTCCCTTCTCAGCTCACGCACGCGCCCTGCACAAAGCAAAATCAGTGAAGTCAACACACACACGCCCAGGCAAAAACAGGGAAGTCAACACACACACGTCCTGCACAAAGTCAAAACATGGAAGTCAACACACACACGCTGTACACAACGAAGCAAAACACACATTGCACAAAAATCAGTGCATGTTCCTACACTGTGTACAAGAAAGCAAAAATAGGATACCGCAACACACGTGCTCTCTCATGCACTCTCTCACGCTCCCTCACGCGCTCCCTCGCGCACTCTCAGGCACACTCTTACGCACTCCCTCTCTCGTGTCAGAACATATAGCTTACTTGTTTCTGTAGGCTATAGTGGGGTATCCCATAGGGGGTACAACCCAATTAGGGTTTCCTATTTGTACCCACTTCATTTCATAG